CGGGCAGTGTAATATAAGATATAATAATAATTTATAAATTATCAAGGGTGCATGGGGGAGGGGGGCAGAGGAAGGGACGGGGAGGGGGGAAAAAAGGAAAATGAGCTGATTCCGGGAACCCAAGAGGCAAGCGAATTTTGGGAATGATGAGGGCAACAAATGTATAGATGTGTTCTACACAATTGATCTATGTATTGTGATGAATTTTATGAGCCCCAATAAATTGATTTTAAAAAAAAGAGTAAAAGGAGAACATATACTGGGAAAAAATTTGGAATGACATATCAGATAAGGGTTTAATCTCTAAAATCTATAGAAACTTCAAGCCCTCAAAAACTAAACACCTCAAACCAAGTTAAAAAATGGATAGCAGACGTAAATAGTTCATCAAAGAAGGCAGTCAGGCAGTCAACAAACATGAAGAAATGCTCGTGATCAATAGCCATCTGAGAGATGCAAATCAGAACTCGCTTACCTCCTTACCACCTCACCCTGGCATTGATAGCAAAGTTTTAAAAATAAATAAATATCAGAAAACAATACTAGAGAGGGCATGGCACTATTGGAACCATCACACAGTGCTGGCAATGACATATCGATCTGTAAGAGGCTACAGAATGTAAAACAATACATATCTAATTGTAAAACAGGAATAGGAGAAATTGAAAAACTGAAAGAAAAAATTCCCTGAATCAAATGCGAATAAAAGTACAACAGAGTAAAACCATGGGATCAGTGAAAGCAGTGCTCAGAAGGCAGCACATTAAAAAAGTGTACATCCCCAAAGAAGGAAAATCCCCAATCAACTCCTTAACCCAACAACTTCAACAAACAGGAAAAGAGCAGCAAAATAAGCCTATAGTCACCAGAAGAAATAATAACTAGTAGAGCAGAAATAAACAAAAAAGAAAAATAGAATTAATGAAACAAGAAGTTGACTTAGTCCTTCAACAAGAAGTTGAAGGATGGGCAATACCGACAAACCACTACTAAATCTATGAATGGAAAATAAGAAAGTGCATGTAACAGGAGTGGAGAAAAGGGAAACAGGTGACATCACAACAGAACCAACGGAAATAAAAAGGCTGACAACAGAATACCATGAAAAACTGCACTTTGGCAATCCAAACAGAAAGAACATAAACAAACAGAAGTTCAGTCCAAATGACTTCAGTGGTGAATTATACCAAACCTTGATAAAATTTGCTGACTCAAATTTCGGTGCATAGAAAAGAAGGGAAAAGTCTTGAGTTCATTTTATGACGCAAGCAAAACCCTGACACAAAATCAGGCAGAGACATCACTAAAAATAAAAATGGCAGACCAGCAAACCCTCGTGAACATAGATGCAAAGTTCCCAACAAAATCCTAGCCAATTGAATACAGTGGGCCCCTTGCTATTACTATTATTACTATATCATTGTCAAAGATGTTTTTAGTGTTAAAACAACAAGAAAAAAAGCCACCCACCTGGAGTCTCTTCTTCCTCCAGGTTTTCTTGTTGTGCCCCACTCCCTCTGGAATTCCTCTCAGAAATGGCACTGCTAACCTCAGCTCTCTTGTCTGAAATGATGGAGGGAGCTTTGTTTTCTCCTGGGCTTCATTGGGTAAAGGTGGATGCAGGATAGGGCACTTTGGGCGAAGCCCACCCTTCCCCACAGAACAGTGCTGCAAGGCCTGCCCGCCCGCCTGCCACCAGCATGCCCACCCACCCCTTGGCTTCCCCCACCCTCTGTCTCCCCGTCTCACAGCACCCCTCCTTAGGCCTCCCCTGCTCACAACCTTGCCCCCTTGGCCTCCCCTGCTCACAGCCCCGCCCCCTCAGTCTACCCAGCTCACAGCCCAGCCTGGCCTCCCTGCCAGCAGCCATGCGGGCCCTCAAACACAAGCTCACCCTGAGAGGCTGCGGCCTGGTCTGTGGGCTTGCTGGACGCCAGGGCCTTGCTCAGGTCTGCAGGCATTGACTCAATGCCCATCAGGGCGGGCCGGGCAGCTTCAATGGCCCTGACAGCGGGCATATTCAGGGGCAGCTCGAGCAGCTCAGGCAGCAAGGGCGAACGGCCAGCCAAGGGCAGGGTGAGGCCAAGACCTAGGCCGGAAGTAAGACTACCAGGCAGCAGGAGCCTCTGGGCAGCCAAGGGCAGGTCAATTCTTAGGCCGAGGGTACAGCTGAAATCTCTATCAGGCAGTTGGGGCGACCGGTTGACCAAGGACAAGTCAAGGCCCTGGCTGGGACGAGCAGAAAGCACAGACATGGAGTGGGAGTCGCTGGGAGTACCCTGGCGTGGGTACAGGAAGACACGACCTCGGGAACGGATGAGGATGTGGTCGTTGTAATAAATTCGGTGCAGCAGTGAGCGAATCAGACCCTCAAACATGAAGCGGAAATCGACTATTGGGAATTGGGGCTCATATACAACCAAGGCCTGCTCGCCCAACCTCACCGCTTCCCCTGCTACAGGCCCAATAGCAGACTCCTCCCTTCGGTTAAGCTCCTGATTGCTTTGCTCCTGCCCTGTCGCTGCCGCCTCGGCCAGGGCCTCCTCAGGATCCTCCGCCACCGGCCCCGGGCCCCCCACAGACTCCTCACTGCCTGCTCCCACGGGACTCTCCAGACCCTCCAGGCCCTCGTCTGGCTCGTCGCTGTCTGACATGGCACCAGGAAATACCTCTCACCACACTACCGGGCTGTGGTAACCAAGACAGCTACCCCACTGAGGTGGCTCCCCCTGTGACGCAGCGGAGAGGCTGAGAGGAAGTCCCCTAGGGCGCAGCACACTATATAGCTCTCGGGGCCTCCCAGAATCCATTGCGTCTGAGGACCCCCAGCAACGTAGGGGGCTGGCCCCAGGAGCCGCCGACCAAGGCTGCCCTGGAGCTGCCTGGAGGAAAGGGGGCAGCTGAGCAGGTGACCCGGGGCAGGGGCAGGAAACGTCATCAATCCACGCCCCTTTGTTACCACTCCAAACTCCAAACTTCAAACCTCATTTGCTGAGAGTTGTGGATTGACATATGTGTCATCCAATGAATAATCAAAGGAACAGGGTGAGGGCCTGGTTGGGGATGGGAAATGAAAAAAGAGAGGCTTTAATAAGATGTTGTTGTTTATTTCATAAAGCCTAATCTCTCCCAGAGCCGTTGGTAAACTGGCGACCTTGTGGTTAGCAGTGGCTCAATGGTTAACAACCTACAGTCAGGGGCAGAGAATAAATATGCTTTATGATCCTAGAAGCAAGATACTTAAATAACAATAAAAAACAAATTTATACATTTTTTTGAAAAACACTTTAAATAGCTGCATATGATTTTTAAATATATAGGCGTTGGTGGCACAAATAGATTCAGTGTTGGATTGCTAATGGAACGTTTGTGCCATAAAGTTGTGCCATAAAGGGGAAAGATGTGGTCTGCTTAGATAGCCTTGGAAACCCGATGGAGCACTTCTACTTGGTCTTATAGGATTGCTGTAACATGGAATTCAATCAATGTCAGTAGATTTTATTTTATGTTGGTTAATGAGAAGAATCCAAATTTGGAGGGAGGGAGATGACATTTTGCCTAACTGGGCTTCAAAGTTAAATAGTTCACCTTTGAAAACATTTTAAAAATTGTTTTATTCATATATGCTTCATATATTATACAATGTATTCAGTAGGCATCAATCCACAGGAAAAGCCAAAATAAGAAAACTCATTGCTATCAAGTTGATTCTGGCACTTCAATCTCAAACTCACTGCTATTGAGTCCATACTGACTCATAACGACCCTATAGGACAGGAAAGAACTTCCCCCCTCCCATGTGAGTTTCTTCGACTCTCACTGTTTAAGGAAGTAGAGAGCTCTGTTTGTGCTTTCTAAATGCTGACCTTGCCATTAGCCTAACTAATAACCACTCTGCTACCAGAGCTCCTTTATGACACTTAGGGATCCTATATAGGATTTACCAGTGAAGGACAGCTGGATGGAGAAGGGAAGAGATGGATGAGAGGTTGAAAGAAATTTAGATCAGAAGCCATTTGCAATACATTTAGGATACATCCTCTTTGAAACAATCTGGATGGAATGATTTTTTAACGTGAAAAGTGTTTTTGTTATAAGTGCAATATTCAGTAATTTATCTGACTGATTTGCTTAGATTTTTATCCATTGTATTTTCCTATCTTCAAGTCCACTTTTATTCAGGTGAGTCTGATTTCGCACTGTTCATTTGGAGAGCCCTCAATTCTGGAGGGGGGTACCTTGGAAATTTCAAACATTTCTTTTGTGGATATAAAGAATCTTTTGTCAGACTCTGGGGATACGCTACCTGGATTTGGTTTAGCATTATTATTTAGTGGCTAGGTGGTTTTAGATAGTCATTGAGCAATCCTGTGCTTCAGTTTCTTTCTTTCTTTTTTTAATATGGAAAATTTAGATAATTATAACACTTACATCATGGACTTGTGAACATTAAATGAGTTATTATAAGTACAAATGTAGAACAAAGCAGCGCATAAATAGCACATGAATTCTCAGCACACAGGAGTTGTCAGAGCAAAATGAGAGTATGAGTTCTCATCACATGATGAGAGCATATGAGTTCTCAGTTTTCAAGCAGTTTAGAGTTTAGTTGGGAAGATAGAGCTCATACATCAAATTATGTACATAGTCGTACATGCTACCACTTATCACTAAATTGTATGTAGTTAGGCCCTGGGATATGACAGTGAGTCAGGCACTTTTAGAATAACTTGAATATGGCAACGGAGCAGAAGAAACAATAAAGACACTGAGCTCAGCATCAGGAACGGGTTTAGGGTAGACTTGTTAGAGCTGACTTCATGGGAGCTGTGTAGTCCCAGTTGTATAGTCCTGGCATAGTGCCAGAATTGAGTAGACAGAGACACTAATGCTGTGGGGACAAGAGCCTTAGAGCAGCAGTTCTCAACCTGTGGGTTATTACCCCTTTGAGGGTCAAATGACCCTTTGACAGGGGTCGCCTAAAACCATTGGAAAGCACATATTTCCAATGGTCTTAGGAACCGAGACACCACTCCCCTATCCGTCTCCAGGTGAGTTCACCCACATGCAGATACTCCCACATACAAGTACCCGGCGTCATACCATTATCGTGGTAACCACATCACATACACCTCATACAAATACAGGTGTATGTGACAGGGTTGACGCCATAATTGTACTTATGCAGACCATTCACACGTGTAGAGAGCAGCTACTGTGTACAAAGCAATGGCTGTGTTGAAAGCAGCAATATTGGAGGCAAAACAATACTTCATGAATTATAATTACTGGGTAAATGTAAAATTATCAACTACTACAAAACAATTATCTGTACCATGGGAACTTAATCTGGATGCTGAACAGTCTTTTTATATTCAGCTGTGGCTCTGTTCAATTTGTAACAATGAAAATACATCCTGCATATCAGATATTTACATTATGATTCATAAAAGTAGCAAAATTATAGTTATGAAGTAGCAACAAAAATGATTTTATAGTTGGGGGTCATTAGGAAGGTTGAGAACCACTGCCTTAGAGGAAGGGAGTACTGTCAGGATCCTATCTTAAATGCCCTTATGAAACCCATACACAGATATGCCCTTATCTTAAGCATTACTCTTGGAAAAAGAAACCAGAATGCTGCCCTGGTTCTCTGCTAGGTTTTACTGCTGCTACAAGCTGCCTCGATACTTATCACAACACCAAACTAGTTGCCTTGTGTGATATTGATGTTGTAAAATTGTCTATGATGTATCAAGACAGAAACAAGACCACTGAAAAATGTCTGAACCTAAACAAAATATGCATCATTGAAATTACCAAACACTCCCTCTCTTGGGTAATATCAGTGACAGCTGCTTCTTTATTAATTACATCTTTGCCTGATTGTAGCCTACACTTCCTCTAGAAAATATTTATTGAATGTTATAACTCATAGAATTGCCCTCCTGTCTGATAGCATCAAATCTAGAAGAAATCACAATTTTCTTTGATTCTCTGCCATGCTACTCTTTGAAAACCTAAGTCTTTTAAATACTTTTGAACACCCTTTTCTTCAGATGCCTCATTGTGTTCCAGGGTGTATACATATTCTCCTTCACTGAACAAGGGATAAACCTAACGTGTTCAACTGAAGGTGTGTTCCTGGTGGCCTTAGATTGGAAGATAATTGACATGCTCACTAGAAGTGTTAAAGGCAAAGGACACTCAGCTTCATTTCTAGAGTTCCAATTCAGTTATGAAGTGACAGAAAGAAAAGTATCCCCACTTCATAGAGAGCACAGCATTGTAAATAAAATAACTGAGGCAAAAAAAAAATTCTTTCTAGTAGCTTTTCATTAGAAGTTGCCCAGAGGGCTTCTCCAAGTCAAGGATGGCAAGACTTTGGACATGTTGTCAAGAGAGACCAGTCCCCGGAGAAAGACATCATGTCTGGTAAAGTCGAGAGGCAGTGAAAAAAGGAAGGCCTTCTATGGGATGGATTGACCTAGTGCTTGTAGCATTGGGCTCAAGCATGGGAACAATTGTTGTGATGGTAACGTCCAGAAAGTATTTAGTTCTGGTGTGCATACGGTAATTCTGAATCAGAAGTGATTGGCCCAGGACAAAACTGGGGAGAAATTGGATGTATTTTGCTGGACTTGTTGACAGAACAGATATGAGATACAAGAGAAAGAGGGATCGAAGAAGTCAGAGGTCCCACATTTCACACAACCAGAGCCCCCACATTTCACACAACGAATGGCTCCTGGAGTGTGACTCAATGTAGCATACCTGTCCAAGATCTATTGGTTAGGGCCTGAGCAGCTGTATGGATGGAATTTTTAATAACTTCCATGGGGAAAATGTGAGGGGAACAAGTTTGGAAGGCTTTCAGAAATATAATTTTGAAAATGTTGAATTTGAGATGTCAATGTAATTTCAAAACGGAGATGTTAAGTAAGCTACACGATATCACATCTGGTATTCAGAGAAGTGTTTTAGACTGGGTATAATTATTTTTTAAGTCATAGGCATCTAGATAGTATTTAAAGCTATTAGAATGGATGAATTCAAGAAGGGAGTGAGAGCAGTTTGAGAAGAAAAGGGAACCAAGGTCCAAGTCCTCGGCTAGCCAACATTTTGAAGTTAGGAAGATAAGGAGAAACAATCAAAGAAGCTGAAGGAGTGGGCAGCAAGGTACAAGGTAATCCAAAAGAGAACAGTGACCTGGAAGCCAAGGGAAGAGTGCTTCAAGGTAGATGGAATGATCAATGACGCAAAATAGTTCTGGTTGGGCAAGCAAGATGAGGGCTGAGAATGAGCCAAAGAATTTAGTAACAAAGTCACTGGTGGCCTTGGTAAAAGCTGTTTCTGTGGAGTAAAGTGAACCAATGACTGACTAGGCAGAGTCCACGTGAGAAAGGGAGGAGGAAATTCATAGATTGGAAGTGTAGACAAATGTTTCAAAGTGTTCTGTTTTAAAGAGAAGCAGAAATAAGTAGTAACTAGAGTTATGTGTGGGCTCAAGAGAGGGTAGTTAAAGTCAGAGAAAACACCAAAAATTTGCCCCAAGAGTAGTCATTGAGATTTGGAATTTGGTTGTCCTTATTTGGGAGCCCTGATTGCATAGTAGTTAATGGCTCAGATGCTAACTGGAAGATCTGGCTTGAAC